GGCTCGACAGGAAGGCGAAGACGCAACGTCGAGGCGAACAACAATCATGGACCGTCGACTCGGATCACCGGCTCTGAGGAAGACGAAGACGTCGAAACGTTAGCCGAAAATAAATATATTTATCAACCTCGTGCAAGCTTATCAAAAAAGAATACATAGTATTGATTATTTATGCTAAGGTTAAGTGGACGTCGGTTTTAGAAACTCCTTACACTGTTAGTTTCATTGAAATTGGTTGATGAGCAATCGATACCAACCACAGGATGATTGGCGAATGATGGTGCACTATTTGCGCATTGCGTGGAATTCATATTGTGTCCAACGTTTTCCGAGTTCACGCCAATGCAGTAATAAACCTAAAGTCATTCATAGGAACTCTTTTGTTCATTTCCGCCTCCTGTCTATGCTCTCTTTTCTTCGTCATATGCGCACACAGTCTGTTGTTTCACGCGGCTCCTCTCCAAAGAAGCATAATCTCTACTGCATGATAAAATCAATATATCGATAGATTTCTTGATTTCAGCGATTTGAACATAGCCGTGCAGTCAGATCAACAACAGTCATTTACTGCTGTTATTTCAGTATTCATTGAACCAATGGAAGTGGACAGTAAAGGTTCTACGCTTGTTCTTTCACCTATTTTTTGAATTAAGAATGATTCTTAATGATGAACTCTTAACCTCTTCAATGATTTATCGACCCGTAGTGGCTAGACGGTGTACCAGAGTGTCGAACTCCGATTTACATGAAGTTCCACGAATGGTCTCTTGAAGGCCGCAACTATTTCAGAGATACAACCACAACGATGCTGAGATACTTGCAAAACTCCGGACCGCAGGTGTCTGCGTTAGGGAACGAACACGCTATTACCCTTTACGGGGCCAACGAGTTCACCACCACACCATGCGTGTCCTTCGTTTCGCCTGTCTCTCAGCCGTGTTATTGACCTATTGGCACTATCATCAATCACCCTTCAACGGAATTGATCTGGGGAGCACAAATCGGCTTGAACCCAACTAAGCTAAAGCTATGGTATAAATCACAATGTCGTCAATTTTTATTTGCTGCCCACTAATTTTTAATGCCAGGATATTATGTGAAATATTACCATAATGTTATTGCTGATTGCTGTTAGTGCCAATAGGTCAACAACATGGCTGAGAGAAGCAAAACGAAGGACACGTGATAGTGAGCGCGTTAGCCCCGAAAAGGGTAATAGCGCGTGCGTTCCCAACCGCAGACATCTACTGTCCGGAGTTTTGCAAATATCTCAGCATCTTAACCATCCTTATTTTACTGCCTACTCTTTTTAATGGCAGGGTATATTGGTAGGATTGTGATTATAACTACAGCCCCAGATTTACTGGGCTCGTTACCAATTTGGGCTTGTCAGAACAATCCGGCCGACGGGTGATTGCTGATGGCAAAGATCGATAGAAATAGCTGAGAAACAGGCGAAACAAAGGACTCGCATAGTGTGGTGGTGAACGCGTTACTCCCCGGAATGGACGACAGTGCGTTCGTTCCGCACCGAAGACACTGCGGTCCAGAGTTTTGCAATATCTCGGCACCATTGAAGTTATATCCCAGCATCGTTATGGTTGTATTTCGCATAATACCGTCGCGTAAAAATTGTAGTAGACAGAAAATAAAAAGTAAACATTGTTGTTTCTGAGGTAATGTATTCATTATTCCACCCATACGTGATTATTATTATCACTGTTTTATAATCACACGACCTAACATCACATGTATCACAGTGTGCGGATCCCAGCACTTTTTGTATCCAATTCATTTCCCAGCATTCGCCATCTACGAAGGTCTTCGAATGTTTTCCATATCGGATCGGCTCCTGCTCCAGGCTTGTCTTCGTTACGAATGTCGTTCAATACAGATCGAGCCGACTATTCCCTGAATCCCGAGATAGACGTGCCAGGGCGTTCACAAATAGGTTGCAGGGAGTTAGTGTATCCAACAAAAGTGTGGTATCATTCTTGACCCGTAAATGATGGGAGGCTTGGTGGGATCGGCGCTCAGGCTTTTCTCGGAGCCCATTACAGAGGTTTGGCCGTTAACGCAATGAACGGGATCGCCACCACTGCTCTACCCGCTCCCATTAGGTATTTATTATCAACGAAAAATGAAGATTCCACAAGTGAGTAAAAATGCATTATGATATGTGACATAGGAATACAATACATGACAAGATCGATAAAAAAAATTTGATGATGATTTAAGGATCTGCATATGTTTCCGTCCGCAACAGGCCGATGGATGATCAAGACATTCCGGTAATCGGTGTACCGGCTTCGTCTTCTGGTAGTTCTATGAGTCAGGCCAGGTGAATTTTCCCACTCTCTTTTCCCATTCCTGATTAATTTATTATGATTTTTGTTCATTCGTCAACTTATTCATTTGTTTTCCTATTCTGCTTCTGTCAATTATTCGTTTACTCAAACTTTCTGACTTTGGGAAAATTCAGTCTTGTCGCCCTATAACTCAATAACTTTAGCATTTTTCAAGCAGTTCATTAGTTTTTTGTCAAAAGTTACTTGTTTATTTTCGATTTCAAAAATATTTTGCCGTATGTGAAATAAGGGCTGGCTAAAGAACTGGCTTAATATCAACTAGCTAGTTCTGTTGAACCGAAACTTTTTGATCTTTATATTTCCCAATGAGCTTATTACTGATACGCCACCGAATCGTTAAATTTCTTTGGGTTTTTCTTCTGTGAAAATCAATTTTCACATCACCAATTTGCTGTTTTTAAATGAAAATTTCAGCTCACATTCTGGATCGTCCACTAATCTCAGTGTAACAAAGTCGTTACCAGCTGGTCAGTTTTTACGAATTATATAAATCATTTCCATTAATTCATCCACAGATCTCCAAACTAACAAACCAGCGGCTTTCTAGGTTGGGAAATGTGCACGGATCGTAAAGGCAGAACATTCTACATTGATCACATATCGAAAAAAACCACATGGCAACGACCGACGTTTGATACCAGGGACAACGAAGAAATGAAGAGGTGCCATAGAAACCGATCTTGGCTCAATATTATATTTAATTACCAACTTACTTGGTTATTTGGGTAGTCCGTCTTCACTAGTTGTGCGTGCTCCAGCGCACTATTCATTAGTTTCTCATTCGCGCAATGGTCGTCCATGGTGATAGTCTGCTTAAAACACAGTGACGTCCGCTGGACATATTCCGAAATCTTGAAATCGTTCCTATCTACGAATAATGGTGGTTTATCTACGTCACAAAAACGTCCGCTCATTACTTAGATGGCAGTCCAAGAAGACTCCTACCTTCTCTTGCAGCTCATTCCTCCGTTCCGTTTCGTCTATCTGTCATCTCTTCTTATTATGTGACCGGCTCCTCTGTGTTTCGCTATCCATGTGAGATGCCATGGATCTTGATGATGGAATAGACTTCGGAAGTTTGAGTCGCGCACTTTGGCAACCCATTATGAGTGCCGGTTAAACTACAAAACACATCGGATGGTACGCGGAACTCATGACATGACTGAAGCAGCCCACGTTTCTGTTGCGTAGAACAGCGCTGGGTGGGCCGTTGAGTCGAAAAGATGAGTGTGGACTTTTGGTTTGCTAGTTGGTCCATGGTCTATTTGAGTAGGCCGAATGTGGCCCATGCTGCTCTATTTCTCTCTATATGCTTTTAAATGAGCACCCAAGACATAACAGTCTCTGTGAGAACCATTCATTTCGATTTGTTTAAATTCGCACCGTGCGTTTATGGGTTCTTCATAAACTGGGTCTTCGTGCTTTTAAATAGTATAACCATTCAAAGCTTTTTCCCGCTTCGTTGAGTTCACTGAACACCATCTGTGCGTCACCAGCACTACTCGAAAAGATGATGATGTCATCCGCAAAACGAAGATTTGATAGGAATTTTTCATCAATGTATTTGTCTTTATTGTCGCATACGTGGAAGCAGTCGGCCCCACTCTTCGTTCGACAAAAAGGATTTCATGTTTCAACACTGTCAAATGCTTTTTCACAGTTAGCAAAAATCAAGACAAGGAGAGATTCCCGACAAACTTCTATAACGCTGGTCACGGTTTGAATATGGTCTTTGTGTATGCAACGTCGAACTTCCCTCTCAGCTTCGGATACCCTGGTGGGGAGGATAGGCCCTCTGCTCATATTTCGACATCCAGGGGCATCTACCAGGCAGGATGAGACGCTGAACCATTAGGGGTTGTATTTAATTATTACATACAGTATGAAAAAAAGTTGCTTCAATGCCATCGAATGCAGCAGCGAAACCCAAAATCGAACATTTCTAAACATCACAAGAAAAATATACCACTCGTCTTGGGCCAGAGTTTTACAAAAATTCGCTGAGCAAAGAAGTTGTCGCGCCACTATAACCGCTTTCTTATTGGTCAATTTAATCGAGCAATGTCTGCCTCCCAATTGGAAAGTGAGCAATTTGCCGATATTTTAGTAAACAGGTTTTCTTGTATGAGAATGATTATACGACGTTGTTTCTTTAATGAGATAAATTTCCGATTTTTTTATTTAAAGACTCGTTATTCTAAGTTTTATTTCCCGTTTATAGCATCATAGCTACATCAACTATTTTAGTTGCTATTATTGTTAGAGTATTCCGCAATAACTTCTTTGCAAATATTTTTTTGCTATGCGAAAAAGTTCACAGCTTGCCTCCAACTAGTATGAGGGCGTATTTACACAACAGTCAGGCATACTTTCATAGCACGGAACAAGAGCCCAGAAAAATGGTGTTGACATGAGACGGTGTCGAGGACTTACGCCTTAAGTCATTGAAAATGTAAAAATAAAAATTACCTTTCCCATAAGTTCCATCGTTTTCCCCGTGTCAAATCTTCTACTTTTTCGTCAGATATTCAATGACTCGTCGAACGATCGGTTTATCGCCGGCCACAACGAAATCCTACGGACCGGCAGTCTTCTTACAACGCGCGGATTTCGTTAGCCTACTGCACGAAAACGAGGTAATTCCTTGTCCTTTAACTCAAAATGCCAATCGATTATCAGATTTTTGATTTCAACGATGATTTTTTTGATGTTAGCCTGCTCTTGCTGCCTACAACGCCTCTCCAGTCGTGAAACATATTGTGCATAAAATAAGAAAGTGCGGTGAAATGGCGGAAAAATACGAGCAGAACAGGTGAATTCAGACTCAGGACAACAGTTACTCGGTAACAGTTCTCCAGTAGCTTCTATATGCTTCGTAAAATTTGCAGAAATGAAAATCTTCAGAAAACCAGAATTTTGATGTTCAGACTATAATGAATAAATGTCGAGAAAATAGTAACCAATAAAATAAGGCATACTGTAGTCTTGTTTCTGGTTGTGCAATTGCGTAGGAAGAGTTGCATCACCTCTGAGAACGACGGTCGATAATTCGTTTACGTTTAAGAGATTTCGTAGCGTTTGTCAATCTATTCGCCGATGAAACACAACCGTTACCGGCAAACTGGCAGGCTAGTGGAAAGAATCCGGTTAGTGTTTCGTAAAGGAGGCACACTTTATATTATCATTCCACCTTACCATCATATTGGCAATAAGCGTTTTGCAGACGGTTTTTATCGATCACACCGCTCGACGGACCACTTTAATCGACCCGCGTCTACCTCCTCCTGCAGTAGAACGGAAACGTGGACGTAGTGCACCACCGTCGCGACGACAAAATGTGAGTATAAACACCGCAGAATAACCCATAGTTTCTAAGACCGCAACGCGTCGTCCGCCGCGTCGCATCGGCGCGCGTCCGCGATTGCGTTCCGTGTCGTTCATCGAACAACTAAATACAACTCGAAATGTTTTTTACAGTTTTTCAAATAGGGTCTCGAACACCTCAATATCAATGTAAATCGACTTCCATAGGACCATGGCATGATGCAATAATCAATATGAAGACCCACATCACAATAAACAGCTGTGGGCAATCCGGCTCGTATCATTGAGGCTCGGAGCAAGACGAACTCGGCAAAATGTTGACCGAAGAAAACTTTATAACAACTTCGTGTTAACTTATCAGTGAAATAGTGCCTTCTGAATTTTTTATTGCCACGCCAAATAGAGGGGAAATTTGGCGTTCTTAAGTATTATACATATCATCACTACTGCTGACAAGGAGTCTGATTTTACAATTTGGTAGCCCAGTTTAGAGTAAATGTCAGCACCAGAAGTCACAGTTTTCTGAAAACCTTTTCTCCCGATACGAAAAACCCATGGAGAAAACTGGAATGTCTTCAAAAAGATAAATCTAGCCTTCAGTCACTTGCCACAATGCACTCTAGCTTCGGTCATTTAAATATGATCGCAGGATTTAATCTCACTAATTTCTTAGTGAATCCTATGTCTTGGTGACAGTCAGCTAATAACGGCTTCACCTAGAATGCTCATATTAAACATTATTTTAGTCATCGTGGTAAAATTGTCTGCTTTAACGTTGTTCTAAATAATAATGAAAGCATAAAGGATAAGGCGTTAGGCGTTGATCAATCACTTAGGGATGCGCCATGCATTTTCTTCGACTCCATTCTTATCATTATAGAGAAGATCGAACGCATATTTACCTTTGCAGTAATTTGCAGTGGCTTAGTACTGTATCAAGTCAGTGTTCCTATCCTCCCAGCAAAAGGCCTAGAAACAGTTGGCTTAGCTTACAGAGACCAAAATCTTGGTCAGTTCGAGCGCACGATGGAACAAACGGCATTAGTGTATTGCAGGACAACACTAAGAGTATCGCTATAAGCACGCATACATTAATGATTGTAACACACTGATTAGTTAAGTACTTTGATATTTTTGCACTATATCTACGTACTATCGTTTCAGTTGGACAAGAATGGTAATCTAATCGACCTGGCTAGTCGCACGGCGGAGATTGCAATGCTTGTCGAAGAGCGACTTCCGGACTTAGCGCCGAAAATACGTAAGAAGTTGCGGCTCATCGAACGACTTGGGACCGTCGCACTCAATCAACTTGCTAATGATGTCGATCTAATCATGGCAATCAGGTCTATTCGTTGCTTGTCTAATGAAGCAAATAAAGCTTCAGTTAAAGTTAAATAAGCTTAATAAATCCCTAATCTATGCGCCACGTATTCGACTCCATTCGTGGTATCGTAGAGGTGATTCAATGGGTATCTGCCTTACACAATGGCTTGTGGTGTCTATTGATGTATTATTTGCACACTCTTATCCTATCAAATAAGTCTGATACCAATTAACACACCTAAGAATGATAAAAAATTTGGTGATCCTAGGCGAGAGATCGAACCAACAAACGATGCAGCGCGTAACGACCTTTAAACATTGTGCTAAACGCTCTCTAAACAAGTACATAAATCAATAAGCGACTCTATTAATATGATTTACGCCAAAGAGATCATCTGATTGCATATACGTTGCTCGTCACACATTTGAACTGTTTGCTTACTTTAGTTCTGCCACTTTCAGCAAGTTGATTGGGATCATCGCACTCTCCTTTTTTGTAAACTGAGCGGTAGTTTTTTCACTGCGTCTAATAACTGATGCTTATTAGTTGTTTAAGTACCCACTCCCAATTTCTATATTACTTAGGTCATGGAACGTATTTGTCAGATCAATAGTCGCTTCCTTGCCGAAAATATGATGCGCAATCCAATTATATCGCCAAAGAGCTTCAATCACTCGCCCGATCCTTTAGGTTGCTGCATTTCCGGATTTTCTAATTGACATGTTTCCTGATGGCACTGTTAGGGTAAAAAACTGGCTAAGAGAAAAACAAAGCGGTGGTGCGGTGGGTATTACGTGGGCACCCGAAAAAGATGATCTCGGTTTCGAATCTGACCTAGTGTTTGAGCTTTGCAAGTACCTCATCATCATTGAGGTTGTACTTTGCGTAATACTCTTCAATGGAAAAAAATATACAATAAATAAAAACTATATATTTAAATGTTTTTAATTGATTGTTTGATGATTTTCAAACGTCGTCTCCATTTTCGTATTCGAAACTTCCTTATTATAGTATTCTCGACTCGGACGATCCTGTTATTTCGACTGAATTCGAAGAGAAATTGAATCATTTCTACACGTCACTCTATCGTAGCGGTTACGGTAAAGGACCGCAAAAAGTGAAGTAAGAAATGATGAATTTGATGACGTCATTATTTTTCGAGCACTATCTTTCTACTAGATTTTTCTACGATTGACCAATGAAAGCCTTTGGGTAGCATCGTCATATAGCCTTTCGAATTCGAGCCTAATGTAGAGTGGAGGGATTTTACAATGCATTTTTTTCGCCTTTGGAAAGAAAGCAATTATTCCTGCCTACTCTTGCACTATAATATTTTTACTGCTAACAAAAGTGTTGCTTTGTAGATTCCAATTCAGTCGTTCGAATTTGTTACAAGATGCCTTCAGTCAGATTCTGGCCGTTGACTCTCAAGCACTGCGAAGAGCTAAGCTGGCAATCTCTTTTGATGATGAGGAAGGGTTGGTATAAAACGTTAATTCAAAGGAAAAGAAAACTTACATTAGGATAATTTGAATTTGTCCACAACGCTAAGATTGCTAGTTTATGGTGCCTAGGTTTAGGTTGGATTACGGTGGTCCGTCACGTGAGCTATTCTATCTACTGTCAAGAGAGCTCTTTCACCCGTATTACGGTCTCTTCGAATATTCGGCACCTAATCAATATTCAGTGCAAATCAGCAAGTACTCGAATCTCGTGCAACATGATCTACAATGGTAGGTGAAGAGCGGAACACTTCGTAATCGACTCAGATGGGCCGAATATTCGATTCGAGTAGTGTTAATCATCTTTCCAATTCGAATAATTGAGCTACCGTTTGCTAGGACTTAGTTGACGTTGCTGATACGAGTTTGCAGACGACAGTTTAAAATCGAATAATTGAAGTAATTATTCAAAATTTTTTTCCACAGAAATGGTCACCATCTAATATCCACACTATGCCAAAGTATGGCTGCTCATGTAGTCCAGTGGTTATAGATGTCATGCAAAGCACACGTAATCTTTGGTTCCAACTCGCACTCTCGCCTAACCAAGCTCCCATCACTCGCGATTCGTCAAATCGCCACCAGACATGCCTGAGATAAAACACTGGTGATGGATCGCTAATCCTTCAGAGAAGTTGTATAGGCTAAATTTTACATCGGTTCAGCTGTAGGACATTTATTGGAGTCAATTTTTCTGCACATCGTTAGGGAACTGATCAGCGCCGATTCCCTCATCTTTTATCCGCTTATGTAAAAATTCAAACACGTCGTAATTCTATTCATTCATTAATTTCGGATATTTCACACAACTTACATTTTTTTGGCATTAGTTTGATTTTGTTTTACACACTAAAAAGGACGATAAAGCTAAAACTTCCCAAGATGATTTTACATTCTATTTCTTCGCCTCTTCCAATTTGGTTGCTATTTCTCGGGATAATATAAGTAAGACAAGATGTGACAGAAAAAGCAAGTGACACCATAAATTCATGTGAATTCCAGGATGGAGTTAGCTGGTCGGATACTTGGCTTAGCGTTAATTCATCGATGCTTGATTGATACATTCTTCACAAGGACATTTTATAAGATGCTACTAGAACTGTGAGTGTTTTCCGCACATCCTTTTGTTGCAGGTTTTCATTCTAGAAATTACTAAAGTACTGATCGTCCGTCGCTAGTTTTTTGATGCGTAACCAAATTACTGAAATAAAACACCACTAGTATTGAACTGACGTCAAGATTTCAAATTACCCATAAAGATACACATCACAAACAAACACCATCGAGCACTTGTGGATGGATCTCGCTCATATTTGTCAAATTTCTCGCACTTTTGACCACTTCCTCATCTTTTTTCTCTCTCCACAGATCACTCTGTCTCAATTTCTCTTCCTTTCTGTCCCGGTAGGTGCACGGTAGCCAATGTCGTATGGCTCTTTTTCTTCCCTGTAAGCAAAAATTTCATAAAGTTTTTTTCATTCCATGAGAAATGGAGACATCTAAGTCATGAAGCATAGGGCAAACCCATAATTAATCCTCAGGCTCCGGTTCTGGTTTTTTGCAAAGTGCTGATCACTCTTTGATGACCATAATACTTGAGGTGTTAAAGACGTGGCTGTCTTATAGAAGAAACCTTGCTCAAGTTTGAAGATGGTTTCTCGGAAATGTTATTTGGTGTTTAAAGTTTTTTAGCTTAGCATAACAATTAGGTCTTTGCACTACAATAAACCAGTTAAGCCAATGCGCCAAAAATTATGTCAGTCGTTAGCGGAAATTGACTCTTCGAGCTAGTTTTCGGCGCCGAATAATCACCGGCTTTATGTAGAGTGCTCGACTTCGTAGGAAGATGCCACGCGGAACTCCATCGTTGTTGCCACACAGAAATGTTTGAAACTTGGGCAATTAAACCATGTATAACAGTAACGGTGCACGAATAACGTTATGTGAACACTGATACATTAGAAGCAGAAATAACACATAAAAAAGTTTTCAGTGCACAAAGAGGTTTACATAAAAAGACCGTTTGCTACAAGCAAAGTTCCTCAGAATGAAATGAAAAATTCCACATACTGCAAGATTGCAAAGTGATATGTGGAGCAGTAAGCGTGGTTACTGTAGGAATATGCGACAAAATGAAAGAATAGTAACTATTCTGACTATAATTGCTACAGTTTAAAAGTTTTAAGAGAAATTAAGGTGATACCTGAACTTTTGAAACTTCGAGCGAAATCCCGATAACTACAACTACTAACAGCGAGTTTGGGTACATGACGGTGTTCTAATGGACGAAATACCGCTTGTTTAATTGCTTTAATTTTCCAAATGGAAGTGTCGACGAAAAAAATCGCCCAAAATATGCTTCATCGTGGTAAAACAGAAGAATTTTTATTCTATGTGTAAACACCTGTAGATCGTTATACGTTATCTATCGTTATTTATTGTAATTAATGAAATTCACGTCGGCCTGAGGTATGTCGCTTTAAAGCTGAAAGCGGCTGTTATTTACGCACCCTTTGAGTGGAGAACGCATGTCGGCACACAGTTTTAAAAAGCGAGTTTAGGTTTGACTCCATATTCACCAATGCCAGCTTAATGTGACATATTTGATGACTGCTAGACCTGATCTCCCACTTGTTTGTCTTTGAGCATTAAGTTCCATTATCACTGATAAACCATCTTAGAAGACTAAAACTAGGCGAGGTTAAAATTAACTTTTAACATAGTCTCTTCAGGCTGGGTACAATCTGCCAAAACGGCATACAAGGTCGTCATACATCATGTATATTCCACATAACCTTGAAGCCAATCGACTTATGAGTTCTTAATTCTATGGAGTTTTAAGATTTCAGTCACACTTAATGTTTAGGCCGATTACGGTGCACGATTTACAAGAAGTCGATCCGGAGTTCGGTCGTAGTCTGTTGTGGTTACACGAAAATCCTATTGATTCGTCTTTAGGAATGACGTTCCTAGTGAACGAAGAGGAGAACGGTCAAGTATGTATGCTTGCATGATACAATTATTGCTTTAGTATATTGAACTGTAAAAACCTTTTTCAGCAGTTTGTAATTCTTGCACTTCAACATTTCATTTAAAATGTTACACCTTCCTAAATCAGCACTGGTAGCCATCAAAGCAGCTTCAACCATCGGAAAATTTGCTCGACGTCGATTTCCTGTGAACTTGGAGACTGTCGTGAAACAAAAAGTGACAGTGCATGATAAATGTCGCTACCTCTTTCGCAGAGAATGGAACTCTTTAGGAGATTTGTTACTGAAGATTAGAGATTGGACCTCCACAACAAACACGAGTGGTCATAGGAATCAATGAATTCTAAGCGAATCGTAGCCGCATAATTTGATACCAGGCTTTTAAGGCTCTTCTGTCGATGGAGTTGAGAAAGCATGATGCGTTATGAATTTCTGTGAACTGGGTGTAATGTCCATTGTTCAGAGCTATTCAGCTTAAGAACTTGAACAAGCTCTTTCAAAGAAAACTTATTACTCTACGTTAAACTCTTCGTGAATGACAATGACAATTTTGCAATGGTGATTCGCATGCATATTTCTGAACATACCTCGGAAGTTCTATCACATATTGCACACTTTCCGAATTTTGCTCTATCAGACCATAACTACTTCCAAGTGGTCATGAATAACCAACATAAAATGTCCGCCAACTGTTAAGCACACCTTAAAAGTTTTCTTGAACATTTCTCTCTATCGCAATTATCTAAGCAGTGGAGGTTAGTTGGGCAAACGATAATTATGGCTACTGGTTGTAGTGTAGACCTCGTTTGCATAGCAATTACTTGCTTTAATCGCCTTTCACCATGAAGAATCATGCGGATTCTTACTCATTTTTCATTCATCTAGGAAGTCCTTGATAGGCCGACATTGTTTACCGAGGCGACCGCTTTTCCAAGCCGTAACCACTGCTGAGATAGAGGCGTATTCTAGAACCTCACTCTTGACTCATATTTCGGGTGTAGAATTTCTTCTTCTCGGCTTAGGTGACCATGCCAAAGGGACAAAACCTTGATGTAAATCGTAGTTCGGCGCTCAAAAACACTGTCCGTTTTTTGATGAGGAAATAAATCATTCAGAGAGATCTGCATCAATTGATAGTTCAGCAGAAATGAATTTGTTAAAGATAACTCAATAAAATTTGCCAAGTGCCTAAAATTTAGAAGCCGTCACCCACAGTTGCGAAACTTTCTTACAACCACTATTTCTACAATCCATGTCATTACTTGATACTTCATACTTTAATGGGTCGTCCTCACTGGTTGTGTGGGCCCCAGCATGACCTCCATTTTTTCGGTGTTCTTCTGGTTTAACCATTGCGGTTCCCTGGTGTCCTTAGGATAGCCTAGCCAGTTTGCCCCAGGTCGTCATAACCACAGGAAGTCGCCGCTTTTGTGGATCAGAGGAAGATTTGCCACCGCGCGACTAGTTTGGTACTAGCACAGTGACGGATCCTGATATTGGTTTACGCTCAACCTGGAATACCCTTCCAGGGAATAAATCACTCGCTGTACATCGCAATCCGACACCCAGGAACACCTCCCAGCCGCGATGAGGCAGTAAACCGTTGGGAGGAATGCATGTCGTTGAACTGTCGAAAGAACAGTCATTGGATAAAAGCTGACATAGTAATAGCACCTCTCTTGAAAGTAGGTCATTAGAGCTTCGTGGCCCTCAGACGAATTCGAGGCCTTCCAGTAGTCATTTATCATTGAGAAAGACGACCATCACCCAGAATGCAGTTTCCTTCCTTAATTGTAAAGTCTTCTGCTAGTTTTTGAGTGCATTTCATTCCGTCTAGTTCGTTTCCGATATAGCTCATACTACAGGGCACTGCTGCTTACTGGTTTAAAAAATCAAATAATGCCAAATGATCTCGGTTCAGAAAACTTTGACCGGTGGAAACGGTATTGGAGCAAAAATCGAATCCTGTGTTGTGAATTTTGAGTGCTGGTTCAAGATTTAAGCTTTTTGCCGTTAATCGCCTACAATAATAGATACACAACCATCTCATTTATGATTGTAGGTGATCGAGAAGGAACTACTTCCGAACGGTGCTGAACTGAATGTCACCGACGACAACAAGGAGGAATTCATTTCGTTGATGATTAAATGGCGAACCGAGCGTGGTATACAACGCCAATCTCAGGCACTACTCAGAGGAGTGCATCAGGTAAAAAAAGAAAACCAAATATAAGAATTACGACCTTTTCATGAAATTATCAGTCGGTTGCTCTTTAGTCCATGGGTTCCTACTTTGTTCCTCATTCTTGATATTCTCCTCGGTATTTTGTAAAAGTCACCACATATTTCGTAAACACTGTAAAAAGTAAAGGTGAAAACCAGAGGAATGTAACAATAGTTCACGAACACAAGACGCTAATGAAAGGTGTGCGGTACGTGTTTTCTTGTGGGAGGTAATAAGAAAAGGACAAAGCTCTCGGCGTTGATCAATCTCTGAGAGATGCGCCATGCAATCGACTTCATTAACCATCGTTGGAGGTGGTTGAATACATAACTGGCTTTTACAATGAGTGGCCCACCGATTTATCGCGAAAGTGCTGCTATCTCTCAGACAAGTCTGGTACTAATTTGCCGACCCAGAGGGATGGAAGGCTTGGCGAGTTTTGGGCCCGGGGATCGGTCCCATGTGTATTGCAGAGCGCCTCCGACCACCGCGTCACACGCGCCCGTGGGTGGTGCTGCAACCAATTCTTTTACATTTTAGGAATTCTTGGTTAGTGTCGCTCTAGAGGCCTTAGTCGACGCGGAAAGCCATCTGCGTGCATTGCCTCGGTGGCTTAATGAATGCGGGACTGAGCGTCATTTCTTCACCATTCTTAACTTAAGAGAATTCCATGACATTAATATCTCCATAAATTCCTGGACTGTTATTCGTCCTAACAATTTCCTTAGCGAATCGTGGGCAAGAGTATTGATCGATGCGTAAGTATTTATTGATTTTCTTCAGATTATCGATCGGGATTTTCTTCGTGTGTTCACGGCCGATGAGCTGGAGCTGGTGTTGTCTGGATCACGTGAAATCGACTTAGAAGACTGGCGAAGAAACACCGAATATCGGGTTGGCATACTGCAGATTTGATGCCGCGACAGAAAATTCTGACGACAAGCTTCTTACAGCAGTTTGCCATCACAAACTGTTATTTGGTTTTCGAACGGCTGCTTTCGCAAGAAAAATAGCTCATACATATATGTATTCACTTGTTTTTAAAGACATGTTCATAATTTAGTACCACGTCTTATAGAAAATGAGATCCTCCTTATCCTCCCTAACTTCAGGGTGGTTACTTTGACGACCACGTGGTCATAGAATGGTTTTGGGACCGTGTTGCTCAAATGTCGAATGCGGACCGATTGAAATTATTACAGGTGAGTTCGGAAGAACTCATCCCTGGCGCCAAAACTCATCCTAGCTACGATCATTATTTCCTTAGTCCATTCACGGCAATACCAAACCATGTGCTCTGGTTAAACGTGGCTGAGAATGAAGTTTTTCGTACGTCACCTTTATAAAATCCGATATTTTACAGTTTGTCACTGGGACGCCGAGTATTCCGTTCGAGGGTTTCGCAGTGCTGCGAGGAAGTAACGGACCAAAACGATTTACAATTGAGAAATGGGGTGAAGAGTCAGCGCTGCCAAGGTACGGTATATGTCTAAATGTTAATAGTAACGAAAAAAATCGTTAGCTTTTGAACCAAATCAACCGTGCTCACCTAAGCACAGCATCAATTTTATTACTACTATCATTACTTTTCTCGGAGAATAGTTCTTTTCTTGCGTCTAATCCTACGGAATCCCGCCAGAAGATTGCCACATCGTCATCGTCGAAAGTTGCCATAATTCCAATCTAAAGATCCCATGGATAATCTACGACGTTTTCGCTAGGTTTTTCGATAGCGTCAGCATATCCCAGCATTGGTTTACTCGTACGTGAGCCTCTGGATAGAAATCCAAATTCTTAACTTGTTCCCTTTGTTCCACCAAGAGAACGAATCCCTTCTACTGTGCACCGCAGTTTGGCACAGGAGCGCCTTGTGGGCCGAGTGAGATGATAAGCCACTGAGCTACTCTAATTCTTTTTTCTTTTAATTTTCTGTCTATTCAGACATAGTAGAACGTTCTGAGACTTCTTGCAATTAGTTTTATCATTTTTACTTACTACTCCTTTAAAGGTAATATAGCTTTTATAAAATAGTCGGATACTATCGTCCATGACGTTGCATTGATTGATTCGGGTATTGATTTATTATTTTCTGTCGTTTTCAGAGCGCATACATGTTTCAATCGCCTTGACTTACCGTCGTATCCGACGCCACATATACTACGAGCCAAATTACACATTGCCATCACCGAGGGCATTAATTATGCCATCGAATAAATATAGAACTTTTTGTTAGTAACTTTGCTACAATGTCCAAATAAAATTCTGAAAATTTAACATTACAGAAGTAAAGACAAATGCTATCACTTTATTTGCACACAGAGGACGATCACTCCAGAAAAATGTAGCATAAATGTAATGTGGTATTAGACCTACAACAACGTGAAAAATACATATCGATTGCCAACACTCAAAAATCAGTAGCTAAACTTGTCGTGTAGCTTGTTCGGAGGCGTCGAATTTGGCTATTATTATAATACGAACATTGGAATACCTCTGTGAAGTACTAGTGTAAAACATGTGTATTGATCAAGATCTCGGAGCAATTATCAGAAGCCCATGGCGAAATATGATGATTGCCTGCTCATATTCTATTACTCAGACTCAGATAGTAAGAGTTTATGGGAGGAAAATAGATTTGAAAGAAATCCGAAATGACTTGACTAAAACTGTATAGAGTGGTCACCATTCGAATGGCCTATGCGGTTCCGTTTGTTGTTGAAGTAGTGGTGGTACGGCACCGTATAGTGATGAAAAGTCTATGAGGCCAATGTCTGCTTTGCGTGCTTGATGAACTGCTTGCCAGTGACGAGAGAGCTGGAGATATAGGTTCGATCCTGGTGAAACTCCTGTAAAATTCAGCTGCATAGTGATAAGTTAGAAGCAATTCAAAAAACACTATCGCTTACATAAGGTGTATTTGTGCTACTACTATTATTTCATAAAGATTATTACCATGACTATTACTATTATATTGGGAGCAAATTCACAAAAGTCTTCATATTATTCACAAATGAAACACCAGAAAAACAAGGAGAACGACTGTGGGCCATCGACTCGGTTCATTCGCTCAGAGCAAGACGAAGACATCATCCTAATAGAACCTTTTATCAACCTCGTTAGCTTTATAATCCAAGAAAGTATTGATTATTAGCACAAAGGTTAAATGACCGTTGGTTTGAAAAAGATTCACTTGAAAAACGTTTGCAAGAGTAAGTTGTGGGAAAAATTGAAAGTGAAATATTTCTATCGACTGAAGTTGCAAAAGCGCCTCTTGAGTTACCTTTTCATCAGGAGATACTAGAACAATATGAATCCATGGGTAATCGCACAAGAGGCGAAAACCACGGTGACGTGAAAGCCGTCGATGAACGCGTCTTAACAAATGTGTCCTTCAATTTTCCTCTTATTGTGTGTAAACGAACATATGGAAATCCTGTGAACATCGAACAAAACCTAGAGCTGTGGGATTTTGTCACGTTGTATAAACTTATTACAGGGCCTCCAACCACTTCTATCAGATGACTTGTCTGAGAAAATCTCCATTTGACTCACGAACGGAGATCGCTTCTTTAACGAAGACCTGAAAAGGCTTATCGATTCATCATAGGTTTTCAAACTGAACCTCGTCGAACAGTAACCGACAATATTCATGAAGAAGCTGAAGTCCTTGAATCGCAGCTGCACCCATGCTCAAATCCTTGTGACAAAAGTGCTGAACTCCCCGCTGCATGTGTGTTGGGTCATATAAATAACATTAAAGCTTTTACAATGAAAGAATAAAACTATACAACTTTTAAAGATGTTGCGCGCCCTTAGACGACGAAAGTCGAAGCCAATAATTTTTTTAGAAACGAGATAAATAATAAATATTAGGCGAAAATAATCATCCACCTTGTCGAGTTGACCAACGGCTTGCGTTTGCAATAACCATTGTCATCTTCATTTGAGCCTACAAATCATTATTAATTTTCTTCTTTATTTTTGAGCATTCAAGAAGGCACAATGCCTTCAGTAATCAAGTATTTATTTTGATTGCTCAACCACTTCAGTTCCTTAGGATAACGTCAACAGCGTCATCATTGACATCGACAACGCCATGAATTTAACTAACCGAGCTCGTCACAGCGTACAATACTTTCATCCCTCATTCAGAAGACTTTGTCAGCAGCAACGAACAGCAACGACGGCGACACAGTTCAATTAATCGATGGGCTGTTAAGCCACTTCAAACAGCGAATAGTATCGGTTCTGTGTCTACTTGTAGCGACTTTTCTCCACTCCTGAAGATAGGAACGTTTTTCTGCCTCATTTGTCAATTTCTTCCGTTGTTAGACCGAAGACCGGAAGACCGAAATGAAATCGACTTCAATTGACGATAAGCTCTCGGACACAAGGTGTACACCTAGAAAGAGATTGCGGCACATGCCCATCATGCTCTGTGAGAAAATTCTTTTTTAGGATGTTGACGGTATCGGAAATAACTACTTTGCTAGTGACTCTTTTTCTGCTTACTTTCGTTTCTTTTCTCATGGCAGTGTATGACATGAAGTATAAGCACAGTGATGCTGAGATAACTCGAAAGTCCGACTTTCTATAAACCTCGGCGTAGATAGTTGATATATTTATTTATATGAACTAATAAACTGATCTTCTTAAGCTGACGCGAGGTTGGTACAGATCTTCGTTGTCGTTGTCATTGTTTTTGATGTTATTGATAGATGGTTGACGTTTCGGCGACTTCGCCTTCCTCAGAGCCGTGATGTCCCGCACGTAGCATCACGACTCTGAGGAAGGCGAAGTCGCCGAAACGTCAACCGTCTATCGATAACATCAAAAACAACGACAACGACAATGATGTTGAGATATTTGCTACATTCTCGACCGCAGCTATCTGTGGTAGGGTTGAACACTCTACTACCTTTTCCTTCCGCAGACTAACGTGTTCATCACCACACCATGCGGCTCTCTCGTTTCGCCCTTCTCTCAGTGGTATTTTAACATATAGGGAAATCTAAATCTAATCTAAAATGTAAAAAAAAACTCTAAAATCTAAAAGCTATTTAAAGTTTCAAGTAAAATCTGAAATTTAACAGCGATATTTAAAACTTTAAAAGAATTTAAAAGCCTGACGACGGTTAAAGAAAGGCTCGGAAACTTAAGCTTACAAGCTAGAATGTTCCATATTGAACAACGTAAGAAAACGATTTTAGTATTTTTTATACCGAACTTCACTTAGAAATTGTAGGGTGGGTTAATATCATGGTTCATACTAAAAGACTTTCCACGTTGGTTTAAACACTATTTAGCATATTACAAATTTTTTTCGACAAAGCATTTCTAAAACCCGACAAATGACGTTCTTCCCGTCTAGCACCTTCTCAATTTTTTCCACATCCAGAAATTTCCAATCCACTGAAACAATGGTTAAAAACGGAAATGAGTGAGTGAACAAAAAGATTTCAGAAATTACAAAAGAAACAAAGGATAAAGGATAGAGCTCTCGACGTTGATCAATCCCTGAGGAACGCCCTATGCATTAGACTTTATTAAGCATCTCGAAAGACCGACTTCCTGTGAACCTCGGCATAGATAGTTGATATATTTATTTATGTGATCTTATAAACTGATCTTCTTAAGCTGACGCGAGGTTGGTACAGATCTTCGTTGTCGTTGTCGTTGTCGTTGTCGTTGTCGTTGTTTTTGATGTTATTGATCGATGGTTGACGTTTCGGCGACTTCGCCTTCCTCAGAGCCTGGACGTATTTAATATTAGAAAATTTTTATTATTCGGTGGAAAAGAAAGGTTAAAGTGTTAATGAAGGTCAAACTTTCAAATAGACGCCATAATGAACAGAAAGGCCACTCACCGTGATGTTACGTGCGGGACTGGCCCACACGTAGTTCACGTGGAGTCGCGAGCAAGACACGCCCCGGGGTCAAAATATCATTTTGAAATAGGGCGCCAGGTCACGCGTGATAGTGAGGCATTCGTCCTTCCGGTTCATCTTTGGATTTTTGAAATTTATGCAAAACGCCTCAAAAGTTGGGCGCGTTGATGTTTTTGATTCCTGCGCTAGGATCCGCACATTCACTTCAAAATCATCGCCGTTGTCCTTTCGTACCCAATGCGTACCTAGAGGGGTGTTTATTAAGCATCGTTTGGTGATTGAATACATATCTGGCCTTAACAATGACTCGCAGTGGCCTACCTATGTATCAAGCCAGTGGTGCTATCCTCCCAGACAGGTCTGGTACCAATTAGCCGACCCCGGAGGGATGGAAGGCTTAGTGGCCAAGGACGAGGGATCGATTCCACTTGTGGGTCGCAGTTCCGCCTCCAACCACTTTGCCCTACCCTCCCTATACAAAAGAAATACATTGATAAATATCATTGAGTATGTATAACACTCGAAAATTTCAATGAACTGATAGATAACAAAAAGTCCTTTATCGAAAATACACAACAAATGGCACAATACAGAAAGACCGCTTTAAAAAATCAGCGGAACTCACTCATGAATTTCCATGGAGTCATGCTTCAGTTCTAATCGAAAACAAGAGGAAAGAAATGAGGTGAAAAATGTAAACGTAAACGGACCTGCAAAATGTCATCTGTTCACAAATTTTGGATTCGTAGTGGCCGGGAAGATTGTGTTAGTGGAGGCCGAAGCATAGCATAAACAAGTATTTCCCGTTTAATTAAATCGCCAGCTCTCCTGTCCAGTGGGCTGTTGTCTTTATTGAATTCATAAATTCATATGCGTGAACACAAGCATATGCACACAAATATGAACATGAATACGTACATACACACATACAAATACACAGACACACCGATACACACGCACATGTCCATGCACATACATACAACAGTACATACATACACACGTACACACTCATATACATGCTGACACAGACATACACCGATAGAAAAAAAATATATATATAGATATAGATATATATACGCCATATACACCGACAAACATTCACACACACACACACATACACACGTACATACATCTGTACAATTAGAAATTTGCGTATACGTAAAGGCGTATGCTCACGAACCCATCCAAAGATAGATATGTACATAAACATACCCACCTACATTTGGGTATGTACACATACTGAATACATCATATGTATCACATATATCTATGTGTCATATGCGCACATAATCTCACACATAAATGCACACATCTACATGCGAATAC